AAACAACAACAACAACAAAAAAAACAAAGAAGTAACAAATGGAATTAAATAATTCTAAAAAAAGAGAAAAACTTTAAAAAAAAAAAAAAAAGCCAGTTCCTGCCCTAGTGGGTTAAAGAACCAAATCCCACATGGATCTGGTTCAACTACAGATTAAAGTCCTAGACCCTGCAGTTTGAAAAACATGCCGAGTGTGTGTGCCTGAAAGATCAAAATCTCAGAAGGGAGAAGTGGAAGAGAAGGGATTGTGGCATGACCATTCCCCATGGGGGTGCTTTTTTCCTCTCAGGCAAGATTTAAAAAAAAAAAGGCAAAGTGGTAAGCAGCTGGTACCATGTGAAAAAGTCTAGAATTTGAGTTGTGGGCCCGGCCTATGATCTGGACTGGAGACTGGGGGTGCATCACAGTGTGGTACTCTGTTGGAGATGTCTGTCTCTCTCATGGAAGAAATTTTAGTAATTTAAAGAAAAACCGACAACTTAGCTAGTCTCCAAATAATAAAATAATAGCTAGTATGGTATAAAGGGCTTAAGAAAATTTCCACTGGGGCCAGCAGGTGGCATAGTGGTTAAGGTGTTGGACTCCCACGTGGCCAGTTGCTTCAAGTCTTGGACCCAGCAGCTTGAAACACATTTCGTGTGTGTGTGTGTGTGTGTGTGTGTGTGTGTGTGTGTGTGTGTATGTGCCCCAAATCCCAGAATGGAGAATTGCGGTATGGCCATTCCCCCTGGAAGGGGGGTGTGGGGAGGTGTGATTCCTTGCTTTCTGTCTCTCCCGTGAGTGCACGCATCCTATAGCAAAAATCTCTCAAAAACTTTCTTTTCCATTTGAAATGATCAAAGCATCTCTACCTAATTCTCTCAGCCAAGCATTCTGGGAGTAATGCAGTAACTGAACAGACATGCATGTTTAATAACTTGGAAGAGGAAAAAAACCCAATGTTTTTAACCCCTTGGAAATCCATTTAGTTAAGTATTTGAGGCCAGCATATGGTGTGATGGTTAAGGTGCTGAACTCTTACATGACCAAAGAGGTTCAAATCCTGGATCTGGCAGCTTGAAAAATCACACTGGGCACGTGTGTGTGCTTGTCCAAAATCCCAAGAGGAGAAAGCCCAAAAAGGGAATGGGGAAGGGATTGTGGCATGGGCATTCTCCCCTGGGTGGTAATTTCTCACTTTCCCTCTCTCTTTCACACAAGTGCATGCACCCTATGGGGGAGAAAAAGAAAAAAAAAAAGAAAAGAAAAAGTAGGTTATCTGGATAAGCAATGTTATCAAAGTACAGCACACAGAACAGACAATGCCGCAATATAGAAACTTTAATAGGTAAATATATCTCGTAATGTTATAGTGGGGAGGAATACAAAGGGGTGGTTGTCAGCCACACCCCACCGCTCAGTACTCCTCCCCTTCTTCTGCCTCTGCCTCCACGGAGTCCACGCCCACCTCCTCGTAGTCCTTCTCCAGGGCTGCCAGGTCCTCCCGGGCCTCGGAGAACTCGCCCTCCTCCATGCCTTCTCCCACGTACCAGTGCACGAAGGCCCGCTTGGCATACATGAGGTCGAACTTGTGGTCCAGGCGGGCCCAGGCCTCGGCGATGGCCGTGGTGTTGCTCAGCATGCACACGGCCCGCTGCACCTTGGCCAGGTCTCCCCCGGGGACCACGGTGGGGGGCTGGTAGTTGATGCCCACCTGCCAAAGAAAATTATGTTAATATCAGCTTCAGAAATGGTAGCTTATTATTACTTTCTAAAGATTTTTGCCATAGGGCACGTGCACTAGCCAGAGAGGAGACAGAGCCAGTGGGAAGGAAAGTGAGAAATCACCCCTCGGGGGGATGGCCATGCTGCAATCCTTTCTACTTCATTCTACACCTGGGATTTTGGGCGCACACGCACACACACCCAGAGTGATTTTCAAGCCATGAGGTCCAGGACTCCAACCACAGGTGGCCATGTGGGAGTCCAGCACTGAAACCACCATGTCACCTGCTGGTTCCAGTAACTTATTAAAAATTGGAGCTGGGGTGGGGGGACAGCAGGTGGTGTAGTGGTTAAGGCGCTGAACTCCCACGTGGTGATCTGAGTCACTGGTGGACCACGGTTTGAGTCCCAGACCTGGAAGCTTGAACACACTGGGCATGTGTGCGTGCGTGCCCCAAATCCAGAGAACAGACTGCAGCATGGCCATCCCCCTGAGGGGGGTGATTTCTTTTTTTCTGTCTCTCTCTCTCTCTAGTGAGTGCACACACCCTAAAGCAAAAATCTCTTTAAAAAAAATTGGAGCTGGGGAACTAGTTTAAACAATGCACTGTATATTTTCGGCATTACCTCAACATTTAATATCTTTTGACGCTATAAATTTCACTTTTTGGATTTACCCTCACAAAAGCACAAAGCTGCAAGTGGAAAGATTTTTCTGTATTTAGTTTGAATCACAGTTTGTTATGGCAAAGCTCGAAACAAATGCCCATCATCGGGAGCCGGTTCATCATACACCCACGGTGAGAACAGCGCAGAGTGGGAACTCTGTCCTGTTACATAAACACTGGGCTGTCTAGAAAGCCACGATGCACTTTTGCATAGAAAAACATAGGAAAATACGCCATGACTTTCCCAACGCCCTAATATATCCAAGGTATACTGTATGTATGGTTAGGAAAAAGGGCTGAATTCTGTGAGTATGTGTAAAAACAATTACATAGAGGACCAGCAGATGGCGTAATGGCTATGTCGCGGGACACCTATCATCGACTGGTTTGAATCACGATCTTGGCAGCCTAAAACACGCCGGGCACGTGTGCATGTGTGCCCCAAATCCCAAGAGGTGGATGGAGGAGAAGGGACTGCAGCATGGCCGTCACCCCTGGGGGGGTGATTGCTTTCTGTCTCTCCCAGGAGTGCATGCACCCTATAGCAAAAATCTCTCCACTAAAAAGAAAACAGTAATAAACACAGAGAGAGCCTTGAATGGGGACGTCTCGCTCGAGGAGGGTAAACACCCTGGAGCGGCTGAGATGGTGACGCTTCCCTGCCTGGTAGGAGAGCAGCTGGCTGCAGCTAGGCACACAGCGAGGCTCTGGAGTGGGTGGAAGGTGCAGGGAGGAGGATATAGGGGGTGCTCACTCTGATCAAGGGATACCCCCCACCATTCTAAACCCAGGCCAACCAGCGCTTCCGAATGAGTGCTGTCAGCTTTCTGTTCTCTGTGGCCACCTGCCTGCAGGGAGTTGGGTCTGTCACCCACAGCGAAGGAGCAGATGTCCTTAGCTGTGTCTGCTGGCCACTCTGTCCATCATCACCCGGATGACAAGAGGCATCATGAGCCTTGAATTTTGCACAAACCGTCTCGCAAAGGACAGAAAACAAGCTCTGGGGAAGGGGAAGAGGGCTTTAGCTTTTCAGCCTTATATAATCCTTCTAATATTTTACAACATATTTTCAAGTGGTTTTCTAATGAACCCTCTTTCTAAACATGGAAGAGGCTCCCCGAAGATGCAGGACGCAGTGCGCCCACACGTGAAAGGTGGTTACAGGACACACAGTAGGGCCGGCTCTGCGGCTTGGTGGTGAAGAACCGGATCCCGTATCACTAACTGTGATTTTTAAATTCCAGCCCTGGCAGCTTGAAACACACCAGGGGTATGTGCGTGTGTGTGTGTGCGCACCCCAAATCCTGACAGGGTGGAGAAACAGAGGGAAGGATTGCAGAGTGACCTCCCCTCACTGCCCCTGGCAAATGTATGGACCCTCCGGCAAATAAGCGAAAAGGAAATACAGTAAGTCACAGTAAGACTGACAAAAGAGGAACACAGGGCCAGGAGAATTCGCCCGAATCCACTGGGGGCTGGACCGTCTTCTGTGGGGACAGGAGAGATCAGGACTCCCATTCACCTCCAGACCAGCCTTCTTTCTACCTCGTGAGAGTGGGAGACTCAGCTAGGAGGGGACGCCTGGGCGAGGCAAGGCGGCTCTTATGGCACCTGCCGAGGAGACCAGCTCGGCTGCCCTCACCTTCCCATCTGCCACTAACCGAAAGCAACACCCCTCACTGGAGCTGAGAGGTTTGGGAACTAGACACACGATGGCAGGTCTCACCTCCTGCCTGAAACCTCTGTGGCCTGCCGTCCTCCTGTGTACAGCTGAATCAGTATTTCCAGTTTGGTGAAACCTGGTTTAGATCTTTTTTTTTTGGAGAGGTTTTCACTATAGGGCGCGTGCACTCGCCAGACAGAGAGAGACATAGAGAGACAGAAAGCGAGAAATCACCCCCCAGGGGGGATGGCCACACCCCAATCCCTTCTCCTCCATTCTCCTCTCGGGATCTTGGGCACGCACACACATGCGTCCAGCGTGAGTTTTAAGCCACCAGGTCCAGGACGCGAACCATGGTCGACTATGTGGGAGTTCAGCAACATAGCCATTACGCTAACTGCTGGTCCCCAGATTTTTTTTTTAAGTTTTTTTGTTGTTGTTGTTTTTTTTTTTTTTTCTATAGGGTACGTGTGCACATGGGAAAGACAGAAAGTGAGAAATCACCCCCTCCCCGAGGGCAAGGCTGGCCACGCTGCAATCCCTTCTCCTCCATGCCCCTCCCGGGATTTAGTGCATGCATGCACATGTACCTGGCATGAGTTTTAGGCCACCAGATCCGGGACTCAAACCACGGTCGCCTACATGGGAATCCAGGGATATAACCATTACGCCATCTGATGGTTCCTAGATTTTTGTTTTTGGAAATGAACTTTCTCTTTCTTTTAGATTTTGCTAAAGGGCATGTGTGCTAGCTGGACACACAATGAAGGGAAAGGAATGAGAACGCGGTCTCCAGGGCAGATAGCCACACCATGAACCCTCCTCCGTTCTCCTCTGAGGACACACCCAGCATGTTTTTCAAGCTGCTGGGTTCGGAACACAAACTGCGGTTAACCATGTGAGTTCCAGCACCTTCACCACCACCTATTGCCTGGCCCTAAATCTGTTCTATTTTTTTTAAAGAATTATTTTATTTAGTATTATTATTCTTCAATTTGACCAGAGAGAGGGAGAGAAAGGGACAGAGAGGCAGAGTAAGAAAGCAAGCTACCAGGTCCAGGACTCAAACCATAGTTGGCCATGTGGGAGCCCAGCTCCCTAACCACCATGCCACCTGCCGGCCCCTCCTAAATCTGTTTTAGATTTTCCTCTTTTCTGTAACTCACTTTATTTTTATTTATCATTTTGTAATTATTTTTTTCTCTTTTTATTTTAGCTAATATTATTTTTTAAATTCTTTTTTCTTTCTTTTAAAATTTTATTTAACTGGGAACCAGCAGTTAGTGTAATGGCTATGTCGCTGGACTCCCACATAGTCGACCGCAGTTCGTGTCCCGGACCCGGTGGCTTAAAACTCACCCCGGGCGCGTGTGCGTGCGTGCCCAAGATCCCGAGAGGACAATGGAGGAGAAGGGATTGCGGCGTGACCATCCCCCCTGGGGGGTGATTTCTCGCTTTCTGTCTCTATGTCTCTCTCTGTCTGTCTGGCGAGCGCACGCGCCCTACATTGAAAATCTCTCCAAAAAACAAATTTTTATTTAACCTTATTATTATTATAAAGTTTCCAGTTTGATCAGAGAGAGAGAGAGAGAGAGAGAGAGATAAAGTTAGAAAGCAAACTCACGAAGTGCGGTACTTGAACTGTGGTCTGCCATGTGGGAGCCCAGTGCCTTTAACCACCACGCAACCTGCCGGCCCCTCTGTGCCTCGCTTTCAATCTGTCATCTTGCAAGTAAACCTGTAGCCAGCTGTGGCGGTGCAGTGGCAGTGCAGCGCTGCAACGCTGAAGCTACATAGGCAGGCTGCAGGCCCGCACCGAGGTCTCCCTGCGCACCCACGACCCTGGCTGCTGATGCTGGAGGGGGATCACAGCATGCAGGACCCATTGCAGGGCCTGGCTCGCTCTCACTCATGGACGCAGTAAACTAAAACCACCCAGAGATGATCTGTGTCGAGGGATCAAGTGGGGCTGACAGACCCAGGCAGGTTCACCAGGCTGTGTGCAGTCGGAGGCAACCCACGGCCGTCCATGGGAACAAGACAGACACCTCCCTGCAACTCTGTGAAGTCATTTCCCATGCGGACACGAGAGAGCACGGAGTTGACACACACGGGCGTGGAGACACCTCCCGGTGATCGCAATGGGTCTCAGAGCCTGATGTCCCCGTCTCTGATTCCAAATGTGAACACGTAGTGCTTTCTTCCTGGTAGACGTGTCACCGTGACTTTAAACATCGCTAAACATACTACCTCGTAGGAGCTACCAGGTGGTGTGGATTCCCACATGGCTAGTCCAAGACCCAGCGGCTTCAAACACCAGTTCATGCATGTGCACGCCCCAAATCCCAAGAGGAGAAAGGATTACGGCATGACCATCCCTGCTGAGTGGTGAGTTCTCACTTTCCCTGGCAAGTACATGTGCCCCATGACAAAAACTTTACAAGAAAAAATAAAGCCACATAATTATTAGTGTGACTTGGTTTGCAAGGCCCAAGTATCAAACTGGTTTAGATCAACAGCAGAGACCCACCCTTTGCCCTCCAGGGTGAACACTGTAGAATGTATGTAAAAGTTCTATTTACAGAAACAGAAATGTTGACTAACGTTCACCAATGACGGGTAACCAAAGTCGTGCAAAGTGTAAAAATCACCATTTCTGAGGTACAAAATGATACTACGGAACCTGATATGCCTCTAAAGTGAGCAGGGGAGAAATGTGGAAGGCAGACCTATAGTCAGACCACCTGAATTCTCTGGTTACACGCCGTCCAAGCAGACTGGGACAATTAAGCTGTGCCAACTGCACTTTTAAAAATTTTGTAATAGAGGGACCAGCAGGTGGCGTGGTGGTTAAGGCGCTGGACACTCCCACACGGCTGACCAGGGTTTCAGTCCTGAATCTGGTGGCTTGCTTTCTCACTTCCTCTCTCTCTCTCACTCTCAACCTCTGCCTCTCTCTGGTCAAATTAACAAATAAATGAATGAATAAATAAAATAAAATTAAAAATTATTTAAAAAAATTTGTAATAGAATCTGAACAAAATGAGTGACTACCCGGAGCTGAGGTCCAGCAATCAAAAAAAAAAAAAAATTTGTAATAGAGCATGTGCACTTGCCAGGAGGAGAGAAAGGGGGAGGGGGAGAAGGAAGGTGAGAAACCAGCCCCTAGTGGGGATGGCACATCACAATCCCTTTTCCTCCATTCCCCTTTTGGGATTTGGAACATGAACGACGTGTTTTGGAAACCACTGCATCCAGGACTCGAACTGCACAAATGGGTCACGTGAGATCCACTCATCTTAACCAACACACCACTGGCTGGTCCACAACCTCAACTCTTGTAAAGGGCAGATACAAATACCACTATCCTGTGAACTTTAAAGGGAGGTTGTAAGAAATAAGGATATATAAAAGGTATGTACTTTTGGGACCAGCAGTTAGCATAATGGCTATGTTGCTGAACTCCCATGTAGTCGACCGTGGCTCGAGTCCCGGGCACGGTGGCTTAAATTCACACTGGGTGCATGTGCGTGTGTGCCCAAGATCCCAAGAGGAGAATGGAGGGGAAGGGATTGCGGCGTGGCCATCCCCCCTGGGGGATGATTTCTCGCTTTCTGTCTCTCTCTGTCTCTAGCAAGCACATGCGCCCTATAGCAAAAACCTCTCCAAAGAAACCAAAAATATGTACTTTTGGCAAAGTATTGGGTCGTCTGAAAAGTCATGATGCATATTTACATAGAAAAACAGGAAAATGCACCATAACTTTCCCAATGACCTAATATAAGGCACTTAGCAAACTAGTGATTAAACTTGTTCTCCTCGGAGCCTAGGCGACATCAGGGTGAGGGCCCTCAAGGCAGCATGGTTCTGCAGGCCTGTGGACACCGCCAGGCACGAGGACCCGACCTCGCCCGGTCCTACCTTGAACCCTGTCGGGCACCAGTCCACAAACTGGATGGTGCGCTTGGTCTTGATGGTGGCGATGGCCGCGTTGACGTCCTTGGGGACCACGTCCCCCCGGTACAGCATGCAGCAGGCCATGTACTTGCCGTGGCGAGGGTCACACTTGACCATCTCGTTGGGGATCTCGGCCGCGGACAGCTGCTCGTGGTAGGCCTTCTCGGCCGAGATGACCGGGGCGTAGGTGGCCAGGGGGAAGTGGATGCGGGGGTAGGGCACCAGGTTGGTCTGGAACTCCGTCAGGTCCACGTTGAGGGCCCCGTCGAAGCGCAGGGAGGCAGTGATGGAGGACACGATCTGCCCGATGAGCCGGTTGAGGTTGGTGTAGGTGGGGCGCTCGATGTCCAGGTTGCGCCGACAGATGTCGTAGATGGCCTCGTTGTCCACCATGAAGGCGCAGTCCGAGTGCTCCAGGGTTGTGTGGGTGGTCAGGATGGATTTGTAGGGCTCCACCACGGCCGTGGACACCTGGGGGGCCGGGTAGATGGCGAACTCCAGCTTGGACTTCTTGCCGTAGTCCACCGAGAGCCGCTCCATGAGCAGGGACGCGAACCCGGAGCCGGGGCCGCCCCCGGAACC